AATACACACCTAAGTAAGAAAGTGGACTTGAAAAGTTAAGAATATACATTCTAATCAATAAAAATGTCCATTAATACTCTACAATACCATTCACAGCTTACCAATTTTATTCTTACCAATTTTTACCAACATGTTGCTCAACCTCTTTACGAATGCCCAGTTGGTCTAGATAACTACCGATTCGATGGACCAGAGAGAGGTAGAGAGATCGTATGAACATCCCCTAGGGGACTCACTGAGGACATGGGATCGTGATGGTTTATGTTCAAGACCTACTGTATAGTCTCATGTTTTTAATGCTTCTTGAAATCTGTCCAGCAGAAGAGGGTGAGAAAGATTTGTTCCAAACCAGGAAAGCACCCAGAGTGCCCTGCAATGGGACAGGGGCAACCAGCACAACCTGGAAACGTGGGAAATTCCAACTCAATACGAGGGAAAAAAGGTCCACTGCAAGGGTGGTCAGACCCTGAAGCCCACAGAGGTTATGGAATCTCCATCCTTGAATGCATTCAAACTGGACAAGCCCTGGATCTGCTTTGGGCAGGAGGCCAGGCTACCCCTTCCTCGCTGTTTGGGAATACCTGTTTTCTCTCTTTCCTCTGTCATAAAACCCTTGGAGACACTTTGATCTGGGGTTGTTTGTTTGGAATCTGCTTGTTTCAGAGGAAAGGGCTCTAAAGCCTGAAACATTTTATAGAACATTTCCTTTTTTTTCTACTCATGGTGTACAACATTGTCTGTTTCCATGTGCTACATGGTCGTTTAGCATTTCCATTACTGATAAAGTCCTTGGGAAAAAAAAAACCAACAAAACAAAACAAACAACTCTGTAAACATCATTAGCGTTGTAAATTAACTGATGACCCCAAATTTAGCATAAGGTAGTCCAAGATACTGTTCCAAAATAGAAAACTGTCCTTAGAAAATACAATATCACCTACAGCTGAGGTCTGAAGTTACTCCATACTGTGCACACTTTTGCCCAACAAATGGACTCCCAACAGAACTACTGAGTCTGACATTTGCAAGAGTTTGCGTTATTTTTTGCAGTCTTTCATATTTCAGCTTGATGTAACCCAGACTACTAACCATATAATTACCAGAATTAAAATGTGTATGAATGTAAATTTATGTGAATCAAGCTTTGCAAAAGGCTCTGATACTCTGGAAAGCTCATCTTTGTGCCTGCAGAGTAGAGTGTTAATCAACACAGATGATGAGTTAATGGCAAAAATTTCAGCTGTCACTTAAGATGGCATGTTCTAGGGTATTTCAGATAAGCTCTGTTGATATCATTAAGATACAAGAATTACGTGACTTTAGAGGTGGCTAAGTGGTGGTAATTATGACCTTAATAATGACAGTCAGTCTTCTAGTGGTAACGCATTCTTGCCTTACAGCCCATAGGTTCTATTAACCTGTCAAAAGACATTCATAAAACAAATAAAGAACTAAAAAAATATACTGTATACATGAATGTACAATAGATAACGTTTTTTTTATTTTGACAAAAACATTTTATTTTAATGCCAGGGACTTTCCCTATGCTTGTGTTCCAGTTTTCAGATGCATTGGTAAAATATGTAACAGTGAAATCAGGAAGGAATGCAAAACATCTGTGTCTTCTACAATGATTATGCCTGATTTCACTCATCATTTGGGATACTGAGCAGACATAAAATAACATGTAACTGTGACTACTGATGACATGACCTGAGAAGTTCGACTTCCTCACATCAGTAGTTGGCAAAACCGAAAGCAAAACACCTGTAGTACAATAAAGAACTTAGTGATGACACCCTTGGATATTTTTCTTCATGTTCTTTGATCAAGAAATTGATGCATTTTTGCCCACTGGGGCTACCTGACAATTTTTATTGTTGTGACATAGCTGTGATCTCAAGTGAAAGCATTGCTCTGGATGTTCCACTGCATTTCTCAGCAACTTTCAGTGTTTTTTTCCTGGTATATGCAAAAGTCTATGTCAGTCCTGTGACTTTCTATACCTTCACATTAACGATCACACACATTCTGCAAGCTCAGCAAATTATTACTACAACTCATTCACTGAAGCGGACATAAATCAACTAGACAGATTGCTAGGAAATGGTTTCAGCAACAGTACTTTCCTATGTTCACCCTTCAGCATTGCCCCCTGTTTTTTTATAGTGCATAAGGAATAGGGCCCATTGGTGAGCATTTGTTTATTATTCAACTCTCTGTTCTGAGCAACAATTAACTTCTTTCCAAATAAAATTTTACCTGCTTGGAATAAAATTTCCTTTACTGCAAAGTTTGCCATCCCTTTGTTTCCTGTTGATTTCTGAACACATTTCAAATTTCGCTTTGAAAACATGGTCATAACATTTGGGAAAGGAGGATCACTCTCAGTATGACACATCACCTCCTTCCTTCCCTGCTTCTTGCATTTTCAGCAAGCCCTCAGCAAACCCTGATGGACCCAGCTGAGATGTTGACAGGATCTCCTTGATAATCTCCGATTGGGTTCATCGCATTGTTCTCAAGCAAGGCTTCAGCACCTGCTTGGGGTTTTTTCCAAATCCTAGATGTCTGCACTTCTATATGAGCTGAGGTAGAATCATTCTGAGGTCTCTTATTTGTATCATACAGATGCTAAGGTCTTAGCAGTTACATGGTTCTGACAGCCATTGCTACCCTGGAGGCTGCCAATGCCCGAGATAATCCTTGATAGCCCCTTAGACATTTTTTCCGTCTTTAGTCCAAGGGCTGAGGCAACCACAATGTGCACAATTCACACTTTGATGTCATGTCTCACCGTTAGACTGCTCTTCAGTCTCCATTGCTCTTTAACAAGCCTGTTGCAGCTCCCTTCAGTACTAGAGATTTTTTGGCAAGCTTATCTATCAGCAAGTTATCTAGATACACACAAGTTTCCTGTCGATATCACAGAGGATGTGTTTGTTGTTTTTCCTCCAAACTTGGCTTCTGGATTACGAGGGAAGTGCTGCTTGGTGAAGATTTAACTTTGCCAGATTCCCTGTGACCTGCTCACTGGGGCCAGCAAAGCTGCGGGAGCAGGTATCCTTACCACCCTCAAGAAGCAAAGGCTTTTTTCCCCAATAAGCACAAATATCTGTTGGTACATTGCATTTTCTATTTCAGAATACATAGCACTCTCACAGTCTTGGATTGTCACCTTTTCTGCTCACTTTACTCTGGCATGCAAGCAGCAGCAATCTCAGTGATAATGAGCTGCTGTGTCGGTAGACGATCTCTCAGAGCAGTAGGGATCTTGTTCTCATTTGCTACAGTACTTGGCACTTGTGTGTCTGCAGCTAGTACAACACAATTAGCACTGCACATATACTTTACTTTTTAAAGTACCTGGTTTTATTTTTGAAGAACATCCATTATTCTGTCTCTCGTACTGTTGCTTAGTGATTTCATAGATGTTTCTGCATTCGGTCACTGCTGTCACAGAATCATAGAATGGTTTGATTTGAAAGGGACCCTTAAAGATCATCTAGTTCCAACTCCCCTGCCATGGGCAGGGACACCTTCCACTAGACCAGGTTGCTCAAAGCCCCATCCAACCTGGCCTTGAACACTTCAGGGATGGGGCATCCACAACTTCTCTGGGGAACCCGTGCCAGTGCCTCACCACCCTCACAGTAAAGAACTTCTTCCTTACATCTAATCTAAATCTACCCTCTTCCAGTTTAAAGCCATTACCCCTTGTCCTATCACGACATGCCCTTGTAAAAAGTCCCTCTCCGGCTTTCTTGTCAGCCCCCTTAAGGTACTGGAAGGCTGCTATAAGGTCTCCCTGGAGCCTTCTCTTCTCCAGGCTGAACAACCCCAACTCTCTCAGCCTGTCCTCATAGGAGAGGTGCTCCAACCCTCTGATCATTTTGTGGTCTTCCTTTGGACCCAGTCCAACAGGTCCATGTCTCACTCATTTGGCACAGCTAGCACAAACCAAAAGTCCTAATTTTTCCCACTGTTAGAAAGCCAAGGCATTTCCAAGGACACCGACTGTGTAGTATTTATTGCACTCTCATTCAATTCTTTGGTCATACCCAGGTATGGGATATGATTGCGGAACTGGGCAACTCTCAGAACTTATATCAATATTTAACGTGAAGCGGCATTAGGATTTTCTGTAATTGTGTGAACTGTAAAGGTCTTCTGTGCTTACTTGGGAAGGGAAGGACAGGCTCTCTTATTTTTTCAACTTAGCTTCACAGAGATGACATTTACACTTTGGCAATAAAAATTGTACGAGCTGTAAAATGCACGAAAAAATCACAACCATCAGAGCATCAGAGCAGTAATAGTAGCCAAGTACAAACAAAACTGGTATTTCGGCAACCAGTTATTACTTAAGGCACTGTCTTTGGGAAGCTACTTTCCTGGAAAGATTAACCCTTCATTCCCTGGCTCACCGACCGCGTGCGATTTGATCCTAGTAGAAGGTGAGGCTTGTACACTGGTCTAACCCGTGACACTCTAGCTCCACGGATCTCCTCCTCTCCCACGCTCCCTGCTAGCCTACTTCCTCAATTTTAGGGAATAAAAAGTGGATCGCGAGCGCAGCTCGCTAGAACTGCAACGGCCACGCTGTCGCCTCTCTGCCTCCAGTCCTTCTGCTGCACCCGAGCCGGGCCGGTGCGAAACCGAGCCGCTACCGAGCCGGACCCAGGCAAACCGTGCACCGGGAGCCACCCCTTCGGCGCCGCTTTTCCCCGAGCGGCCCCCGCCGCCCTCCCGCTCCGCCGGGGCCTCGCACCGCCCCGTCGGGCAGGGCCGGAGGGGCGAGGACCGGGGAGGCGTGGCTAGGCCAGACCCCGCCCCTGGGCAGCGTCCATTGGTGGAGGCGGCGCGGGGACCGCCCAGGGGCGGGTCCGGGGCGGGGGGGACGGCTCCAGAGCCGGCTCGGAGCCGCCGCC